TGCCTTGTGATTAATTCTTGTTGAAATTAATATAAAGAACTTTGGTGTTGCGTGAACAACGGAAAATTAATTAATTAATTAAATTATGAAATTTAAGAACACCAATGTTAGTTTCATATCAAAATTATAAATTAAATGACATTTAATAATTATTTAAAAAACGTCGAAACACTTGAAACTTAATTCTCTCTCAAAGGTTAATGAATTTTACGGTCTATTAATTTATTAAANGCAGCGGCCAGCCAGAGCCGAGAGAGACTGAGACTCTGAGAGTGAGAGAGATAGAGAGTGTGTGAGGTCTGTGCTGTGCGTGACTGCGTCTACGTGTTGTCGTGTTCCAGTGAGAGAGAGTGAGAGATAGGCTTCTGACTCCCGGGTTCTGGCGAGAGCCGAGAGAGACTGAGACGAGTGAGACAGACAGAGTTGAGTAATTGAATTTGAGTTAATTGTGACATTGTGTTAGACTTAGGGTTATTGACTTATTGTTAGTTGTTACACTCAAAGGTCAAAACGACGTAGTTTTGTAAAATCCGGATTGGATTCGGATATCCGAATTTTTAACATTCCCGATCCGGTATCCGATCCGAATATTCGGATTTTTTAAAATAACGATCCGTATCCTATCCGAATTTTTGGCTATCCGATTTTTACAAATCGGAGCTGATCGGATCCGGATCGGATATCGGATATCGGATTTTTTTGCACAGCCCTAATTCTGCATCAAAATATTCACAATATTTTCATTAATATATACATCAAAATAAATTAATATATTATCTGATAATTTTTTTATGATTTGTTGAAAATTCCAAAGGTATTTTCTTTTTAGTAGAAATATAAATATATGAAGATGAAATATTTACTTGGAATGTTATTCACGAAATATATCTCAAAAATCTTATCCCAAGTGATGTGTAACCCTATGTGGCATTAGCAAGTAAAATGAATTGTTAATGTTGAAGTGAATGCTAAAAGCGTCATTATATTGGAGGATTAGTTAAATCGTCACCTTACTATAATTATCTTAATTAATTTTGAATTTTAGTGATGAAATGTACCTTGCTATAATAATTAATAAATTGTAAGGTTATTTTGTTTATTATTATAATTCGCAATTTCGATTATGGTATTGGAGCTAATTATCTTAAAATTAATGGCTTCTAATTAATATATATATAATAATAATAATTTATAAAATATGTTCAGTGTTTTTTTCACATATTTTGACGAGTATTTTACACTTATTTTTTAAGTTAGAAATTAAAATTGTTTGATAAATTAGTTTAAAAAAATTATTATGCTAAAATAAATGATGAATAATTATTTAATACACTAATAATTAGCCTAAATTTTAAATTTCTTATAAATAATTATTTAATAAAATATTTTAAAATTTTAAAGTTGAAAACTTATGATTGTGAATAATGTCAGTTTTATTGTTTTTTTTTTTTTAAATTGTTTGTAATAGATTTAATTAATACATTAAAAAATTTATTAAAATTTAATCATTTTATATGTAGTATATCTAGTATTTTAAAAATAAAAGCAAAATGAATTTCTTTAACTCCCCCATTATTTATTTAGCTAAATATCATGACTTGATTCTAAAAAGATTTTTTTTTCTATCTTAACTAATATGAATTTTTTATATCATAAATTTTTTTGCAGAATTTATAACAATACTATATTATTTATTATTATTTTTATATCACAGGGATTTGTTCATCATAATGTTGTAATTTTTAAGCAATTTAATTAGGAATATTATTATTTGTGCAATAAATACTTTATTTAATTAAGAATTCAAAAATCCATTCCATTTATTCTAATTTCATATTTTTTTAAAATGCCAATTAGAGTAAATAAAATTATAATTATTCAAACCTTTGAGCATTCAGTATTACTTACTATTATATTATCTTACTATTTAAATTTATTTTAATATTATCAAAATCTTTAAGCTATTGGTGAGTAATCTACTGATTTGGAAATTCTTAATATATTCTTGTCAATTTTAGAATGAAGGGATTCTTTTCTGTCTCTCTCTCATTTTTTTTTTTAAATTATTTTTATTTTGTCAAAATGGCAATTGAATAAATTTAATAATTAAATAAAAGAATTATTTTCAAAATTTTGTTTAGAGATGAAGTTTTCTTCTAATAATTTCTTTGCTCTTCTCCTTGTTTTTTTAGGTATAATTTTTTCTATCTTTATTTAATTTATTTTATTTTTTATGCAAGCTTTTTCTACCCTAAAATTATCATGTCATACATATATTTAATTTTAATTAACCCCCTGCTTTTAAAAAATGACAAATACACCTCCAATAGTTTATAAAAATTACAATTAAATCCTGGTTCCCACCCTAGTACCCAGACCTCGGTTATGGTTTCGGTTCCTGGTTCCAGCACTGTAGAAACAGGTACCAATCTCGGGAATTCCCGTTTCCAATTTTCTAGAACCAGAACTAGACCCTAATAGGGCTGACTTTGGTTCTACCTTTTACCCATGCTCACCCCTAGTTTAACCCTCAATTAGTTTTGCGAGCCAATATTCATAAACATTATCGAATCAATAACAATCAAGTTTATTTATAAAACCAAATAACTTGTTATTTACCACATTATTGGTTGATTTTTTTGGTGGTCGATTTATTGAGCTAATTTTATATATATATTAGTTGCATTGCCATTGATGGTGCCTCAAGTGGATTCTCAAGTGGAGCTAGTTCCAGTGGAAAATGTGATGCCGAAATTTGCAAGAATTTATGCTCCAATTTGCACAATGGCACCGGAATTTGTGCTCAGGGTTTAAATGTTTTCTACTGTTTGTGCACATTCAATTGTTCTTAATTAGTTATCATACTAATTATATGCATTGATTTTATTGACACATTCTTAATAAATCTTTTTGAGCCGTGATTATTGTTAGCCACCATGAACAATACTTTCAAATCCACAAGGAGGATTTTTGAATCCAAAAAAAAAAAAAGTCGAATCCACGACAAAACAATTTTATTAATAAGTCATTGATTATTGTTTGTAACATAACAAACATATTTACATAATTGATAGTATTAACTGAACACCCAATTGGGGCGGAGCTAGATAATATTTTCCGAGGGCACCAAAATATTATCTTTAATGAATAACGGAGCCAAAAAGTAATGCTAAAGTTACATTTATTGGGGCTAAAGTGTTATCTTCTAAAATTAGGGATAATTAGAAAGGAAAAACTACATTTAAAGGGGTTAAACATTATTTTTCTATATAAATTTTAAAAAATTCTGTGGCCTCAGGTTAGCCACGGCCACGCCAGGCCTAAACATTATTTTGATATATCAGCCCTCAATATATCAAAATAATGGATCCAAATCCAATGCTACACTAGTTTTTGTTATTAATTGAACCTTTATAATGTTGTAGGGCTAAGTTGAAGGCCGAATTAAGCACACAACTGAGTATAAGATCAACCAGACCCGCAAGCAGAAGCTTAAACCACAATTATGACAATAAAGATCTTTTTCTGGGATTTTACCCAGAAACCATTTCTATGCAGTTCTACTTTATGCTTAAAAGATGAGAATGGAGGAGGCACATACTGAATATTGATACTTGATTGCATAAAACTATCCATAAAACCTGAAAATAAGCTTCTAACTCATTAAAAAAACTTTCTCAAATGTCCAGCGAAAAGGTATCTCAGAATCTCAGCAATTCACATCACAAAAAAGTTACTTCTTAAGTTGAAAGATTAACAAAAAATGGAGGAAATCATTTAACTAATTTTGAAGACAACCTCCAACAAATATTAACTTTGCATTAAAAAAAAAACCTTGTTTCTAATGTAAAACGTGACTAAATAAAAACTATCCAATCATATCGGGTTTGGGCCTTGGTTCGGATGTGGATTCAGGATCAAGCGCGGGTCTTGGTTCGGGNTTCCCTTCTTATATACTTCTTTCAACTGTGCCATTTTGAAGCCTCCAGTCTTCTTTTCCTTTGTATCAATTGCCAAGCCAAGTTTTCATTATATTATCAATAACCATTTGTTTTATTATGCTGATGAGATTTGCTACACTTAACGGGGATCCTCTCTCTGGATATTTATATATATATATATATTTTGGTATCTAACGGTGTTCGAGTTAACTTTTGCTTACCTTGACTATTCTCCTTAAAACGGTCAAATAAGTATTCAGTAACTACCCCTTATTAATAGTCATAAAATTCAAGCTCAAAATCTATTGAGTAACACACCCAATAGTCCTAAGCAAACCACCAAACTATCTAGTTCTTAATCTTGATTTGGATTCTCTGCTAATTTGTTTGAAAGATCCAAAAACATGTCAGTTCAACCATCTAATGAATATGATTGATTTTTTAATTTTATTTTCTTTTTTACCCAAAAGATACTACTTTTTCTTAAATTCAACTTTACTTGGATGGTAGTTCTTTCTCGTCTATCATACACACGATTCACACCTGAATTAAAGAATTTTTTTTTGGACAAATTATACTCTAATAAGAATCAAATTCCAAGAAACATAGTTGAACTTGAATCGGCACAAAACAAGTTATTCTGGTTTTAGATTAATCCAGAAAAAGTTGGATGGTAAAGGATTCCAAGAAACATAATTGAACTTGAATGAACACAGTACAGATTGTGTTGATCCGAAAAAGTTGAATTGAAACATGAGAGTTTTGTTAAGTCTTAGAAGTTTCCAAACAGCCAGATCAGCCCTCAATATGTCAAAAATAATGGATCCAAATCCAATGCTACACTAGTTTTTGTTATCAACTGAACCTCTATACTGTTGTAGGGCTAAGTTGAAGGCCGAATTAAGCAAACAACTGAGTATGAGATCAACCAGACCCGCAAGCAGAAGCTTAAAACACAACTATGACATTAGAGTTTAACTTCTTTTTCTGGGATTTTACCCACAAACCATTTCTATACAGTTCTACTTTATGTTAAAAGATGGGAACGGAGGAGGCACATACTGAGTATTGGTACTTGATTGCAGAAAACTATCCATGAAACCTGAAAATAAGCTTCAAACTCATAAACAAAACTTTCTCAAATGTCCAGGGAAAAGGTATCTCAGAATCACAGGCATTCACATCACAAGAAAGTTACTTGTTGAGTTGAAAGATTAACAAAAATTGGAGGAAATCATTTAACTAATTTTGAAGACATCTCCATCAAATATTAACTTTGCATAAAAGAACAACTTTGTTTCTAATGTAAAATGTGATTAAAAGAAAACTATCCAATCATATCGGGCTCGAGCCTGGGTTCACATATGGGTTCAAGAACAGGTACGGGTTTTGGTTTGGGCATGGGTTCAGGAACAGGTTCGGGTTCGCATTTAGCTACAGTTCGGATTTGGTTTTCAGGTCTGGGTTCAGATCTATGTTCAGATTCGGGTTAAGGGGAATGAAGATTTGTCCGCCGGCGTTCGGCTCAGGAATCATGTGGTTCACACAATCGTCGATTTGCTGGAGGTTAGCGTTCATTAAAATCAGAGTATTATATTTGAGTTCTTGAAGAATCTCTACCGCTTTGTCTTTGACCTCTTGGAACCTGTACTTGGTGAGCCAGCTCACAACACTCCCTAACTGCAAAAAATCAAAACATCTGTAAAGTAATATAATAGAAATGTAGTAAAATAAATCAGATCATTACCTCAAAAATTTTATGTGATTGAACAGAATCAAACGTCTTTCCATCGAAACGGTTTAAAATATCCAGTACGGAATTTTGTTCAGCGTTCGTCATGGCATTTGCTTGGAAAATTCTGTCCCCCTTTCCGTTTATCTGCTTGTATAAGCTTTGGAGAATATCATCAACGTCGTCGGCGGTTAACACCTCTAAATTTTCCATGAGAAAGAGAAATATGAAAGCAGAAGAGAAAATGAGGGAGTGCACGGTTTAGATGGGGGCTACGAAAAAAGTTTATAATATTGTGCTAGTGAAAGATCAATCATGAAAGACAGAAGAGAAAAATGAGGGAGTGCACGGTTAGATGGGGGCTACGAAAAAGTTTAATATTGTGCTAGGGGTGGTCCTAGGTTTATAATCTTGCGCCATCTGTCCATCCAAAACTGATTTTGACACCTCACTTCATCCATATCTTTCGCCATCGTCCATCCCAAAACTGATTTTTGACACCTCGATGAAAATTGCGACTTCACTGCCTTGTTGCCTTCAGGCAGTTTTAAATTTTGGGTTCTTTAGAACTTGTGTTATGAAACTTTAGGATGTCCCATTATGTTGTAACAATATCTCATATCTCATGTGACCATCAAATTGTCAACATAATGCGACTATTAACATAATGTTCACAACTTAGGTGATTAATTTAATATATGTTTGTGACACATTTAATGGACATCACTTGAAATATGATTTAGGATTTCATTGAGAATAGATATAATACTACTCTCTGTTTAAATTTTGGTTTACTAAAGTCATCCACTCAAAATACCCAACAAATTGAGATATCTCAATGACATTATAATTTATTTAATATAACTCGTAATTTACTAGATCAATTCAATCAATTTTTTAGTGGTGTTATGAGCAATAGAAAACCATTATTTTGGTATTGAGTGATCTTCTTGCAGTTTTTTATCTATTATGATTATGATTAACTTCTCTTCTGTTGAAAGCAGACCCTGAGCTGGGTGACAAGCGGATGTGGGGGCAGAATCCGTAAATAAACGATTTAATTGGGGCAGGAGGAGGAAATATAGCAACCAACTACCAAAACTGAAAGAAATGTATCTCCCACCTCACTGAAATTTTCACAAAAGTCATACACACAAGCTTTTGAGAATGGCAAATATTGTGCAAACTTGATGGACCTACAGAGAACCAACCATTTATGGGGACGACGAGACAGCAAAATGCAGTTGATTAATGGCCAAATCCCCACTACCTCTTAAAGTTTCCTGCTAAACATAGCTTTCGCTCCTGACACTCAGTTAGAATTCCCCTAGCAGCATAGGCTCGATAAGCTGCCAGTCCAACAATAGTAACGGCAGACCCAAACATAAATCAAACATACAATCCCGTTAGAAAATGTACATTAACAAAATAAAATCAGTGCTATACAAATTCATGTGTAATCCTGGGAGATGGGAACTATAGACAACACAACACACCAGAACACAAACATAAGTGAGTTGTTGACAAGATGCGGTATCGCTTCCTGCCCTTCCCACCTCAGTTTCAGGAATGTTCAAATGAGGGTGTTCGCTGCCCTCACAATTCTGCTGAATAAATTTTTGGAATCTCTCTTTCATGCTTACACGAATAGGAGGCTTGATTCCATCTCCTGACTAACCTAAAATTGAAAGGAAAGGAAATTATTTTTTCTCCATAATCAATAACATTTCTATAGGAACAATCATCCAAAGTTTATACTTGTACTAGTCTAAGTAGCCAAAGAAGTTCTGTACCATTGCTGATCTTGTACGGTGATTTGACATGGATCCAAGTCATCCTTGGCTGCAATAAGAAGGCATGGCACCCGCATGACCCTGACTTCCCCTTGCCGGAACCTCCTCCAGCAGTTCCTTTGTCCTTTTCCATGAATGTTCAACTGAACTGGAAATAGAAACATGCAGTTCATGATATCTACTTTCAAATAAATTAAAAATCATGACTGAACGACTCACAAACACAAAGAGGAATGAAATTAAATTCTGTGCTACTACTCTTGTTAAATCACAAAAAGCCAACGAAGATAAATTAAAAGCATCACCCCATTTTAATTCTGCCATGGTGCAACGGCAAATGCATGACGAAGGGAGAGGAGGCAATAAATCCATAAAATGACAGTAGTAAAATCATAGACAAACAATCACAAGCACTAATCCACAAGAAGAGTTCACGTTGAAAATTATGCATAAGAGTATTCAAGTACCTACATAGACGAATAAAGCAACATCACAGGTTGCCATATATTCCTCATAAGAGAGAACTTCTTTCACTCCATCTTCGGTATTTCTTGCAATATAGTGTCTTCTTAGTTCCCTGCACCATCATCATCAAATTTGTAACATCCCAAGACAATGGGAACATGCATAACACAATGTACGAGATATCGAATGCTGAAAACATAGAAAAATGCCACTAAATCTGCAACGTCTTTATTACAGATGACATGTATAATATCCAGATATCAGAATGATGATAACATAGATAAATCCCATCAAGTCTCAACACTCATGACAGATGAACGATGTAGTGATCTCCCAGATATCAGAATATTGATGATAAAAATAAACAGGAAAAAAAATTCAGTTCACTTCCAGGCCGAATTTTAGAGAATACACGAGAAAGGGAACTAAAATATAAGTCCTTAGACAAGAAGTCAAAAGTGAGTAGACTCTACAGTCAATAAATAAAAACTAGATGAAAAGTAATGTACGAAATTAGCAAGATCAATAACTGACTATGCTACATTGAAATTGGTAACAGGTCAACACCTTCCCAAAATGAATCCAACAGTGCAGACTTTCCAGCATTTTAGAGCCAAAACAAAGCAGCGAAAGACATTTTCTTCAGTTAGTTGCTCCTTACGATCGCTGATTTTCCTCTAGTAACATGAAACACTTTGGCAGCATCACACACTATATCCAATGATATCAATAAGCCAAAGTGCGTCGTGGCTCAAGTATGTCATTAGGGCCCACTGCAACCAAGCATTTTACCAGACAATTAACAAATACTTCAAATTGATTAATCATCAATTAATATTTGTGGAAGTCATATATAGGAGACGATTCTTCTGCTTTATACTACCAAAGAATGTACACAAAGGGGTAAATAATACAACTAAACGAGACAAAGTTCCTGGAAAAAAACTAGGGTAGGACAGACAGATACAGACAGAAGAAAAAGATTAAGACATTAAAAAACTATAGAAGCATACAACCGTACAACTATATAGTCCCAGATGAAGTCTTTCTTGACAAAATGTAAAGCCTTTATTCATAGGAGAAGCAAACGAGTCAAAAGCAACAATAAAAAGTTGGACTGTCAATGAAAAAAACTGTATAAAAACCAGCAACCTGTGACTATAACATAACAGTAATAATAACATATGAAAAGTCAAAAGATGTTTATTAAGCACCATTAATCCCAAAAACTTTATAGGAAACACCTACAAAGTTGTAACTCTTGGCAAACCCCATCCGATGTATGGCCAAATATAATTTATAAACTTGTCATGGGAATCCAAATAACACAAAAACATACATGGACTGCTCATGTGTTTAAGCACAGCTTACCATAGTTAATGAATAAAATCGAGGGGATTACAAAAACCTCATGGTCAACCTGGCTTTGATACAATGTTCGGAATGATTCATTCTAAAAGTTCAAACTAACAGAATAATGGTCCTCAACATGGTAGTAGAGCCAAGTCGACTAGTATGTTTTGTTGTTCACATTCTCATTGTACTATTTAAGTTTATAACCTGTAGTAAATGGACTGTATTTGGATCCAGGTGTGTGTTCATTTTAGTTCCATAAACAAGTTTGTCAATTAAAATTTGGCCGTGTTAAATAGGACACATTAGAGTTTAAATACTATTGCTAGTCTTTTTCCTATAAGCATTAAAATTGTGTTAACTCAGATGAGAATGCAATTTGCATGTTCACAGAACATAACTGATTAATCATTTAACATATAAACTAAAAATTGAGACAAGACACAGTGAAGAATAAGCCCATAAAACATTGCTGCATGATAACATAGTCACCATTAGCGATATTAACCCATGGAAGGGCAAAAATCAAAGTGACAGTCATACACCTCAGATAGGAAACCCTTAAGATTAAATTGCCCAGCGATGTTTTCTCTACAGCTCCCTGTAAGAGCTTCATCCCATGGACTGGATTAAAAAAGGGACAGTACATAAGAAATTATATTTGGTAATTACATGGCACAGATAGTATGATAGCGAGTCCTACGCAGAAAACTTTTAAAAGAAAATTTGCTAAAGATAGCAAAACCTAGAAATTAAATTATTGGCTGATAGAGGAACAAGTCTGAAAAACAGATTTCACCTTTCTGGTGGCGTTGAAAATAGATTTCAAGCTCAGTGGGCTCAAAGCTCCATCCTACAAAAGCAATAAGAATAAAGCATTCAGAGATTCAGTGCATGTATTAGTCAACATCATAAAAGACAGCCCAAATATAAAGCACTCTCAATGGCATGAAGCCATAATTCATATTGGCAAGGGTAGAACATACATTATCCTTGTCACTCCAAAAACCACAAGAAATCCACAACCTCACTTGCCAGCTCCACACTCTGCAGGGCATCAAAGGGTAATATCTCAAAAGATGTATGAAAAGTTAATGAAAGATTTCCTTTTTTTTATTCAGATAATATAAAGAAGGGCAGAGAGAGGAACATTTTTATAAACCACATAAATGTAATCCAACAGCCACATGTATAAAAGTAGGATTTTGAAAACTTAACGGAATGATGTTCAATAATTCTCTTAGTTGAGATACGGGTCAGGAGCAAGCTTAGGTGGGACAGGAAGACACTCATCCCTTAGTTCTAAATCATCGCGTACCAAATTTTCTGAACACCCCGTAGTCTCAAGGTGCCCATTCCAAGATAAGAGCCTGGAGAGTGATGAATCCTTTAAGGTAACACCACGACCATTGACTCCATCTTGTCGCTTCTCTTGTACACTCTTCACTGCCGCTATTTCTAGGTTTCAATGAGCTTTACAGCATTTACCTGTTTAACATCAATTAAACATGTTAGAACCTCAAAGAAGAGTATAAATCAGCCATGGTAAGAAAGTATCAAAAGGAAAAAAGCAGAAATACAAACAAACCCAAAATCATTAAACTCTGCATCACTGAGGGCGTCATCCTTGTCTCGTCACAAAGAAAAATACCTTTAATGCCCTGACAATCGTGGTTCAGATGTAGTGAATCACGATCAGAATGGATCTACTGGATGAATTACTGCCTTCCGCGATAGAAAATGTAATGGCCTACCTCAAGGTAAATTTGATTAATCTTAACGTTCAATAAGATCTCAATACAAAAAGTGGCAAGATTAAAAACTGAAAAAACTAACAATTAAACCTGAATCATTTTAATCGCAGAGCATTGAAGACAATGTCAATCTCCCTAAACTGTCCGTGATCGGTTCCATCATCTCCTTCAAGTTCACGGAAAAAGGATCACCCGCAAATCTGACTTGCACTCAGCACACATAATAGGCACCTTAACCTATCCGTGCAGTATAATATTATACACAAAAAGCAGGCTGTCATTTTAGTGAAATTTAGAAATAAGCAGTACGAAACAAAAGCGTAAAACATACAAACCTCTAAACTTCGAAGCTGGGGAAGCCAAAAGAAGTCAAACTAGAAAGGACATGGGCTATCACATGCATATGTAAACACGGCATCAGCCTTCTTCAATTCTTCAGCATCAGCATTGTTCAATTTTTCATTATTTTTACCTTATTCTCCAACCTAAAATTGAACATTTATGCACAAAAATCAAGATACTCGCACACTACTTTAAACCTATACGGTTAAAGCTAAGAGCCTAAAGCTTAAAATAAAAAATAAAAATAAAAAAACCAACTAAAAACAAATCAAATCAAATATGAAATAGGAGTTATGCCATACGGATGTATAATATGTATACAAGAGAGGTGTGTACGGACAGTGCACCTGGAAGAGGTGTCGATGTGGTTACAGGGACGCGTCGCGGTAGAACCGGGAGGGAGGCGCGTGGAGGATGAACTGGAGGGACCTTCTTCGGGACCGTTCCGAAGCAACAGCAGATATAAGGCTAGATTTTCCGGTGCCTGGGTCGCCAACCACCACAACTCTCACCCTGCTCCGAGCACTAGACCCTGGACCACCTGGCATTTGTTCAAGATATAAAAAATTTTGAGGTTTTGTTGTTGAAGAATCAGAGCTTTTTAGAGCAATTAGCGAATTAGTGTGTGTATTTGATATATTTTTAGCAATAATCCTAGTTCCACGATCTAATTTCATAACCTTTTCTCTTAATCTCCCGATATAATAATTCATAATAATTACTCATAATTTTTAGTTTGTTTAGGAGTCTCGCTTATCTATTTGCGAGTGCAAACTAACAAATTACGATCTATCATATCACAACTTATAGAAAAGGTTGTAAGATTTGATCATGAATCTAGTATTATTTATATTTTAAGAGAGTTTTCTTATATTTTTAGGATTTTTTGTAATTATTTCACGTGATTTATAGAAATTTATTCTATTTTTAAGGTTTCATGATACAAATTTTTATACGCAAGTTTTTCAACAGTTAGTGATAAAACCCTGCGTTTTGGGATCTTAAATGGAAAGTAAGTAATTAAAAAAATTATGTTTGGCCAATTTCTAATCTCTAGATTGATTGTTGTTAAGTTTAGGTTAAGATTATGTTAGACGTAGATTTGGGCAATTTTTTTATTGTTGAACGTTTGTTTGATGGTTTATTACTTGATTATTGTGATTGGGTGTTTGTGAAGAGGTGATTTTGTTGTTTTGTTGGAAGAAACTAATAAATGGAAATGATAGGAAGTTGCAAAAAATTATAAAACAGATTGCAAATTTGCTCGATAGCCTTTATCAGACACAATCAGGTTAATGAGGCCAACATTTGAAATGGTGACAAAAGCCCCCATATGGTGATATTAGAAGGCATCGGACACTTAGTATTCTAAATTTAGCCCTATACCTTCCGATATGATCCTATTTGGCACCATAGTGCATTTGCGAAAATAACCTAATGGGAGTATTGAGCGGTTTAGGACATATTTGGGCGCTTTATATATTAACAAATAGGGGATTCGGCGGTTTAGGGCATGTAAGAAATGACTTGATTGGAGTATTGGGTGGTTTCGGGTACTTTTACATAACATTATTGCTTGTGTGAAACTAAGTTGTTTTTTTTTTTTTTTTTGGGTTTCTTTCCAACACATATGTTATTATATATTATTTTCATGTGATTAAAAACATAGTTTGCTACTTTGTAGGGGGTAAAATGATAATTATTAGGAATATTTTCATAACATCGGAATATGTGGAGCACTACAGACCATATGTTACCAACTGTTGCTAATTATTGACCCTCACTTGTTGAAGAAGATCGGTTACTTTGAAAAATACCTGAATTGTGGTTCAAAAATGGAAAAATTTGAGGTGAAGAGGTTATTACATGATGTCATACTATAACAAGATACATAGTTTAATGATTGTAGCACATTTACGTTGAAGTTTATTATTATAAAGTACCTATAACATCCCGCTTTCCTATATTGAGAGACATGATGGACCCACACTTAGGAGGCATATTGTGTATTCTATTTTCTATAGAGAAATGCTTTTATAGTAGTAATTTAATAAACCATATAACTGTACATGCTTTTATTGAAGTTTAATGATAATATTTGTTTTTTTATATGTGTTTAAATGAGTTTATCGACAAATTATGCTTTCGAATAGATTGTTCAATGCCTTTCAATGGTATGGTTCTATAATACCCACATTCAGAAATATGGTAGAGATTATTTTATAGTCATAGTGAATATATTTAACTAGTTTTATAGAGAAATTCCATAAAAGTTTCAATATGGGCAAATTGGTCATTTCACACAGAATCACATGTTCAAGTAAAAAGTGTGTATGATAAATATAATGCATTAAGTGTGTTAACCATGAGAATAGAGTAGCAGAAAAATTATGGAAAATAGACGTAATGTGATGCCGAGATAAATACGTGCTCGTAAAGCAATAGAAAGAAATTAAAGAATAAGGATAAAATGGTCTTTTCACTCACAACTAGATGAGTGGGGAGTGAAAATGACCAAGAACATGTGTTAAATCCATTGAAAGTGAGGGTATATCGATAAATGCACGTATGGTATAATTGGAATTATTATAAAAGTGCAAGGGCAAAAAGGGTTATAAGGCTTTAATTGACAAACCCTAGCCATTCCCTTCCCTTAAGCACGCCACCTTCTTCCCCCATTTCTCCTCCATTTCTTCAAAGTCTTTCAAGAGAATTACATGAGAATTCATGCCTAAGTGAACATATGTTCATTTTGTGCTTTCTAAGGGAAGAATTTTAGCAAAAGTTTGTGATTTGTGTTTTATAAGTATGAGTTCTCATGAATTTATGTGTTTTAGCATGAATCAATGGAGAAAGTGAGCAAAGGAAGCAAAGAAAAGGATTTGTGCAAGAAAAAGGTAAGTAAATCCAATTTTAGTTTTGATTTGAGCAATAATTCTATAGATTGATTCTTGTATGTTTGTATGTGATTGTATAGTGAGAATTATTATCTGTTTTGTAGTACCTCTTTCTAGCTAGTATACTTGGGAGATATAATATAATAAAACACATACGTATATAATTGAAAGATAATGGGCCCGAAAATTTTCTTTACTTTATATATTAAATTTTGTACATAACAAAAATATTATATACAATAACTTAAAATCAGTGGACAGTAGTGCCATTTCTCTCCGCTTCCCGACGTCCATTCGATCGCTTCTCACCTATTTCTTGCAAAAACATTTGGAAACAACGAGGTGAACACTAGTTGCTCAGTATGTAAACCCACTAATCTACTCCTCTCTTTCCGTTGTTCAGGTTCCGAATTTCTTTCCTTACATTACTCTTTTTCTTTTTTCTCGATTCTTTCTTTGTTCTTTCTCTATTCTTTCACTATTTCTAGTCCTCAATGTTCTTTCGTTCTAACTTTCTTTGTTCTTTCTTTCTAGTTCTCTCTCTCACTACCCATGATAGAAATTAGTGTATTATGCATATGTATGATGCACATGCACAAATGCATAGAAATGCATTTTCTTTCTACTTTTCTGTTTCTTATTCTGTTCTTTCTTTCTCTTCTTTCTTCTTCTCTTCTTTTCTGTTCTTTCTTTCTCTTCTTTCTTCTTCTCTTCTTTTCTGTTCTTTCCATTCTTTCCTATTCTTTCTTATGCTTTCTTATTCTTTGCCGATCAGACTTGGTTGATGTATAGATTTGGAACCCTGGCCGTGTGAGTGAGTACAATCCTCATCTACATGCACTCTTGCGAACTGTACAAATTCTTCTTCTTCTTAGGCCACTCATTAAAGGTGGCGTGCATGTAGGTATATTCTTCTGGGTACAGCCCTCATCCACATGCACTTTTACGGGCTGTACAAATTCTTCTTCTTATTCTTAGGCCGCTCACTGAAGGCGGCGTGCATGTGGGAATATTCTTCTTTTTATCACCCATGGGTTCCCCATCGCAACAACCTTTCTTTTCTTTTCTTTAGCACTCTTCTTTCTTTCTTTTTATTCTTTAGTGCTTTTCTTTCTTTTTCTTTGTTCTTTAGTGTGCTTGTATGCATGTATGCATGTAGATGGATTCTTCTTATTATTCTTTCTCAATTCTTAGTTAAATGCAAAAATACAATATGGCATGTAAACATGTCATTTTCTACNAACGAAATTAAATTACTGTGCCTACATACTCTTGTTAAATCACAAAAAGCCAACGAAGATAAATTAAAAGCATCACCCCAATTTTAATTCTGACCATGGTGCACAGGCAAATGCATGACAGAAGGGAGAGGAGAGGCAATAAATCCAATAAAATGACAGTAGTAAAGAAATACATAGACAAACAATCACAAGCACTAATCCAACAAGAAGAGTTCACGTTGCAAATATATGCATAAGAGTATTCAAGTACCTATCATAGACGAATAAAGCAACATCACAGGTTACCATATATTCCTCATAAGAGAGAACTTCTTTCACTCCATCTTCGGGTATTTCTTGCAAAATAAGTGTCTTCTTAGTTCCCTGCACCATCATCATCAAATTTGTAACATCCCAAGACAATGGGAACATGCATAACACAATGTACGAGATATCAGAATGCTGAAAACATAGAAAAATGCCACTAAATCTGCAACGTCTTTATTACAGATGAACATGTATAATATCCAGATATCAGAATGATGATAACATAGATAAATCCCATCAAGTCTGCAACATCTCATGACAGATGAACGATGTAGTGATCTCCCAGATATCAGAATATTGATGATAAAGATAAACAGGAAAAAAAATTCAGTTCACTTCCAGGCCAGAATTTTAGAGAATACACGAGAAAGGGAACTAAAATATAAGTCCTTAGACAAAAAGAAGTCAAAGTGAGTAGACTCTACAGTCAATAAATAAAAACTAGATGAAAAGTAATGTACGAAATTAGCAAGATCAATAACTGACTATGCTACATTGAAATTGGTAACAGGTCAACACCTTCCCAAAAATGAATCCAACAGTGCAGACTTTCCAGCAATTTTAGAGCCAAAAACAAAGCAGCGAAAGACATTTCTTTCAGTTAGTTGCTCCTTACGATCGGCTGATTTTCTCCTAGTAACATGAAACACTTTGGCAGCATCACCACTATATCCAATGTATATCAAATAAGCCAAAGTGCGTCGTGGCTCAAGTAGTGTCATTAGGGCCCACTGCAACCAAGCATTTCTACCAGACAATTAACAAATACTTCAAATTGATTAAAATGCATAGTGCAAAAAGTTAAATCATAATTTGTGGAAGTCAATATATAAGGAGAACGATTCTTCTGCTTTATACTATCCAAAAGAATGTACACGAGAAGGGGTAAATAATACAACTAAATGAGACAAAGTTCCTGGAAAAAAACTAGGGTAGGACAGACAGATACAGACAGAAGAAAGAAGATTAAGACATTAAAAAACTGTATAGAAGCAATACAACTCGTACAACTATATAGTGCCCAGATGAAGTCTTTCTTGACAAANCACTAAAATCTCTTTCTCCTTGGTAGTCTTCCTCTTTCTCTAAAATCCTAAGCATATAAACTATAAGAACTCAACACTTTAATAATTATTCTCACACCTATTTACAAGAATTCTTACCTTGAGATGCTTAGGATTGAATATCTACCAAAATCCAACCAAAAGTCCCCTAAATCTCTTTGGAAATTGATGAAGGAATTGAGAGAATTTGAGAGTGAAGGTGGCGTGTGAGGTGTAGAGAATGATAGGGTTTGTATGCTTGAATCTTGAATATCTCATATTATTATGCATACTTTCCCGTTTTGCCCTTATACTTTATTAGAAATTCCATCTTTGCCCTTTAATCAATTACAAAAATGCCCTTACCTTCATTGCATTCTCCATAAAATTTTCTTACTTTTCACTCCCCACATTACAGCTAATTAGGGGTAAAATGGTCACTTTGCCCTCAAGGAAATTTCCCTAGAATTTTCTCAAGAATTTTAGCCAGCTCTTCGCCTCGGGGAAGCATTTCAGAGCATACGTCGCCACGGCGAATTTTCTTCTTGGCCGCGGCAAATCCTGCAAATCTTAAACTCGATTTGGGCAAAGCCTGCAAGCCTAGTCTAATCAGCAAATCAGAATAGAATACAGAAAGAATTTCAGAAAAAGAAATATAAATAGAATAAGAAATATAAAACAGAAAGAATTTCAAAAAGAATCAGAAAAGAATTTTAATAAAGAATACAAACATCATTTGCATATGCATCAGACATTTTATGTGTATTGCATCTCATGCATTTATGCATAGATTAAACAGTTTATTTTATTATTGTGTGTTTGACTAGTCAAGAAAAGAAAATAGAAACCCATGAGAATAGAGAAGAAAAGAAAATAGAAGCCTACGAGAATAGAAAAGAAATTAGAGATATACAAGAAAAGAACAGAAATTAGATACTTGCTAGAAAAGAACAGAAAATGAAAACAAGACAAATAGCGAGGAAACTTAGCTATTTGTTGAGTAGAGAAAGAAATAGAAAGTTATAATCTAGTAGATAAGAGAAATAAAATGATAAAGAATAGCACAACACTAGAAGGATTTAGAAAGATTTGAGAAAAATAGAAGACTGCTAAGTAGTACGCCTGAGAATAAAGAGAGAAAGCAAGCAGAAATTTAGAAGCAGTACAGCGAAAATGGGGACAACAGAGTAAGAGCATAGTTACATTTGGTTTACTTACTAAGCATTTATAGCTCACCCCGTTGCTTTTTTTATTTTGCAGGTATTAGATTGTAGTGGTTGGGAGATGTCAAGCTGACAAGAGGATTGCACACACTGTCTCAGTGAAGGAATTAATGTGGATTTATATATGTGAGAAATAGTCACTGTGTAATAGTATGTTATAACTGGATTAAGGATACAAATTTTAGATGAACACCCTTTTTTAAGCTAGCAATTCTCTAGATTCTCTCTATAAGATACTCAGTGAATACTTGCCTAGTGAGATATTATAGGTTCATTATAACTATAAGTATTAGTTCTTTCAAATTGGAAATTTAGAATTACGCAGATTATCATGCCTTATTGATTGACAATATTATAGATACTGATCATTATATGGAAAAATACATTTAGAATACAAGTTACAAAGCATTAATCACACCACTTAGGTATGGTTAAAGTGTAAGTAATCAATAGTTCCATACGTTATAAGCTAAAAAACATACTCAGTAAAGTGTAAATCATTTATACATTGCAATATTGAAGGAAAAATCTTCCCTTGTACATATTGTACTGCGCTATCGAACTCAAGACTCCAAACGCCCTCTGTACTTCACAAGAACCTGAATAACATCCATTGTTCTTGCAAACTTAGTATAAGATGTTATATATGCACAAGTATAAACAATTTTCAGAATTCTGAACACAAAATAAACAAGTACCAATTCAATCCGATAATGCCCGATACCGCCTGATACATATCAATCATGCATTATTTTATAACCCATACTACTCGACATAGCTTAATATCACCTGATCCTTTTTGTCGAGTGTTTCTACTTCAAATGTGCCCTATACCATATTATCTGGCACTTATTAAGGTACTGAAAGTATATGCCTGATAGTGCCCGATTAGCAAGTATATGGCATTAGTTTTCTTCTAAATCTAGCGTAAACTTGGTTGAAACTATTCCAAATTCACAACCCAAACTATTTTATATACATTCTTACTTACAAATGAAATAACAAGCATACATATTATCAAACGCAAACTTATATACAATATATCATATCAAATCTATACCTCACTGAAATTTTCATAAAAGTCATATACATAAGCTTTATGAGAATGGCAAAATATTGTGCAAAACTTGATGGACCTACAGAGAACCAGCCAGCAAAATGCAGTTGATTAGTGGCCAAAGCTCCATTACCGTCTTAAAGTTTACTGCTAAACATAGCTTTCGCTCCTGACATTTAGAATTCCTCCTAGTAGCATAGGCTTGGTAAGCTGCCAGTCCAACAATAGTAACGGCAGACCCTAATATAAATCAAACATACAATCCCTGTCAGAAAATGTACATTAACAAAATAAAATCAGTGCTATATATACAAATTCCTGGACGTAATCCTGGGAGATGTGGAACTAGTAGACAGCAAACACACCAGAAACAAACATAAGTGAATTGTTGACAAGATGGCGGTATCGCTTCCTGCCCTTCCCGACCTCAGTTTCAGGAATGTTCAAATGAGGGTGCTCAGCTGCCCTCACAATTCTGCTGAATAAATTTTTGGAATCTTCTACTTTCATGCTTACACGAATGGGAGGCTTGATTCCCATCTCCTGACTAACCTAAAAATTGGAAAAGGAAAGGAAATTATTTGTTCTCCATAATCAATGACTAGGAATTTTTGTAGGAACAATCATCCAAAGATGTTTATACTTGTACGTAGTCTAAGTAGCCAAAGATAGTTCTGTACCATTGCTGAATCTTGTACGGTGATTTGACATGGATCCAAGTCATCCTTGGCTGCAATAAGAAGGCATGGCACCCCATGACCGCTGACTTCCCCTTGCCTGGCAACCTCCTCCAGTAGTTCCTTTGTCCTTTTCTGTGAATGTTCAACTGAACTGGAAATTAGAAACAATGCAGTTCATGATATCTACATATTCAAATAAATTAAAATATCATGACTAGACGACTCACAGGCAACATAGAATGAACGTAATTAAATTACTGTGCATAAATACTCTTGTTAAATCATAAAAAGCCAACGAAGATAAATTAAAAGCATCACTCCAATTTTAATTCTGACCGTGGTGCACAGGCAAATGCATGACAGAAGGTAGAGGAGAGGCAATAAATCCAATAAAATGACAGTAGTAAAGAAATACATAGACAAACAATCACAAGCACTAATCCAACAAGAAGAGTTCACGTTGCAAATATATGCATAAGAGTATTTAAGTACCTATCATGGACGAATAAAGCAACATCACAGGTTGCCATATATTCCTTATAAGAGAGAACTTCTTTCACTCCATCTTCGGACATTTCTTGCAAAATAAGTGTCTTCTTAGTTCCCTGCACCATCATCATCAAATTTGTAACATCCCAAGAAACTGAGAACATGCATAACACAATGTACGAGATATCAGAATGCTGAAAACATAGAAAAATGCCATTAAATCTGCAACGTCTTATTACTGATGAACATGTATAATATCCAGATATCAGAATGATGATAACATCGATAAATCCCATCAATTCTGCAACATCTCATGACAGATGAACGATGTAGTAATCTCCCAGATATCAAAATCTTGATGATAAAGATAAATAGGAAAAAAAATTCAGTTCACTTCCAGGCCGGAATTTCAGAGAATACATGAGAGAGGGAGGAGTGGACATCAAGATGGAGGGGAGGGAGTAGAATTATAAAACTACCAGATAACATTGTGTTTCTAGTGTTAGTACTTACCCCAAGCTGGTCGACCACATTTGCTGCATATCGGTCAGAAGTTGTTGGATAATAATATTCTGAGAAAGGCCTGTGTTATGTCTGAAAAAGTAGGGTTGACGCCGCGCCTTGTCAGCTGTTAGAGTAGATGCCCTAGAGCCAATCAATTATTGTAGAATTGACTCTTTGTAATAATGTTCATTAATCAATAAAAGGCATTTTATTCTATATCGCGTAAATCATTATTATTGCAATATGTATTGATATATGTCCTTAGAATGGTAGAACCGTGACGAGGGTATCAAGTGTTTCAAATCTTGATAGTGAGAACCCTATGAGCACATATGGTGGCCATTCTAGAAACGTCCGTAGCCCCAGTATTATTCTGAAGTAAGGGCACAGATAATACGGTAAGGCTATCATAGTGTTGAACGACCCTGTCGAAAGGCAGTGACTGATCTCACTTGTCAAGGTTGTTTGGTGACAACCTGGTGCAACACATGGGTGCTTGTTGTAGGCGATTACACCACAGCAAGTTCACTGGACTGACCCACCAGAGGATTCCATATGGATGGTAACCCCAGTGTCTATGGAACAAATCCTCTAACGAATGGTGGTGCATGTGATCCTTAGACTTGAGATCACCGGAGCGCCTTGTGCACCGATTGGTGTAGTTTGACACTAGCCTAACGCAGTTCTTTTCAGAGCTGTCAATACGGTGGTGATTGGCTGCATCAAGGAGTGTATCAAGACTATGGTGGATTGACAGAGGATTCATCACTCCCGGGTACGGGAGAAAGTTATCTCACAGCGCAATTCAGTATATGGCAATGACACTAAAACGGTGGCCACAGTGGGATTGAGTTGTTGCTCTATCCAGTTTATAATACGGGTCATTGGTCCAGAAACTGAATACATAATATTGAGAGTAACCAAAGGTTGACACTATTTCTATGCCTTCGTCTCGTTGAGATAACGTATGATGAAAGGATCGAATTGCACGGTAACCATATCGTTGATAGGTAGCTACTTTGCTGAATCCGAATCTATCGGGTGACCATGATGCTTTGCTAGGGGCCAATCTTGGTCTGTGTATTAGTGAGACGATTAATTGGTGTTAATCGGGATACTGTACACTGCCGATATGATGAGAAGCCTATGGGTCACACATATAGAAGACACTTTAAGATCCAAGAAGAAAGAAGAGCGTTTTCGTCTTTTAAGGCGAAAGGGTATTTTGGTAATTTCACAGTGCAATTAAATTTACTGAGGTCGTAGCCTTTATTTAATTTGTTAGAAAAATTAAATAAGTAAAATTACGTTTAAATGTGTGTTCGCACATATTTAAATATATTATCATTATTGTTAAATGTTAATATATATATTTAAATATATATACTAATTGATTTTAATTGAGATAATGATGGAAAATAAAATAAATCAAATTGGGAGTGTTTGGCAACATGGGATGTTTGGGTTGGAGCCCAAGCCTATTCCGTATGGGATTAGGGCAAATTTTTTTTTTAATATAAAAGGAAAAGTGTGTGATTTTTAATTAAGGTTTTTTTCTTTGAAAAACAAAACACACAGCCCCATTTTTACATTCCCACGGCAGAAGCAATTTTGCTTAGAAATCAATTTAATTGATCTTCCTTTCTTCTTAATCTTGAAGCCAAAGAGGATCTAGCAAATCCCTCTTTGGTTCTTTTAAGATTGTCTTCGTGTAGACTACGCAGGTTCGGTAGCAAAACATTCGTCGACAAATTTGGAGGAGCCTCCAACGTGCGTTTGTTTCTCTTAACTCATGTTTAATATTTCTGCAGATTCTTATGATGATAAAATTGTAAAATCATACCCTTGATCTTGGCTCATGTAAACGATCCCTGAGTTTTATTATTTTTTTTTCCGCTGCGTATACGGGACCGTTTACTAACAGTTAGCATGGGCGGTCAGAGTTTAGGTAGGCTCTGCAACCATTCAAACGCAGCCATGTCACATGCTGATGTAAGCGGCATGCTTCTGCCAATGCAATGGGTGTGCGCCAGGCTGGCAAATGGCTGGAGAGGTTCCACGTGTCCAATCCCTACATAAGTCGAGGAAATCACTCGAGTAGGTGAGCAAAGAGACATAAAGAAGGATCTGCACGACAATCTGACCCACTCACAGATTAAGTAATCATTACCTCAATTCATCTCACTATAATAGAGGGCTCCTCTCCCGTTTGTGGGATTAGCTAATCTCTTTCTCTCTCTCTCTCTCTCTCTCTCTCTCTCTATCTTGTAATCACTTGTAAATTAGCTCGCTGAATGTGACCTGACCTCATATATTAATACAATACCAGTGGATGTAGGATTTGCTTACTTAAGCATCCGAATCACTTTAAACATTGTTCTTCATCTTATATTCCGTTCAATATCCCCATACATGTGTGTCTTCTGAGTCAGCTCAGCATTTTCCACGTGCGGTTCGTTGGTGTCAAAATCACGCATCAATAGTTTGGCGCTAGAAAGAGGGCCTGATTTAGTACTTGTTCTTCATCAGGAGAATTTCTGACTAATCGACCCCACTGCAGCAAATGGCTCGCCAATTCGAATCTGAGCGAACCAATCATGGTGATGAAGAGATCCCCCAGGTACAAGAGGACACTTCTCCCGAAGTGCCCTCAGTCCCATAAAATATCATGGGGGACATCCCTTCAAGCTAACGGCTTGATCTAGCTGTCATGAGCTACCTAGAGAGGTTCAACAATACTCTCCAAACGATCAACCAAAGGCTGAACCACTTGGATCGAGTCGTGCCACCCGAATCAAATGAGGTGGTGCAACCGCTAAAAACACTTGTAGGTCGTTTGAAAGCACGAAAAAGGGCAAAAGCCCATGCCGTGCGCACTACAGTGCATGAAAGGAAGGGAAAGCAAGTAGTGCACGGCAGACATAGAGGCTCCAAGGGGCCAACGAACACCGACAGTGCCCTTGGTAGAATACCCGTGGCGTTAAGGCTCGATGACATGTCGTGACCTGAGTCGTCCCGTGCCACATCGTGCGAGCACTCCCACAAAAGTGCAAGGTAGGGAGATTCCCATAATTGCCAAAGTGACGACTCTGATCATCGTCGAGCGGGAGATTCCCATCGTCCGCAAGTCGGTTCGTACCACCGCGAAGGTCGGGAACATTCCTCGAATCATTCAGCACCATCACACGAATCTAGCCAGCATGTGTCAAGATTGGCTAGGACTGCCAACCGAGGCGAGGAGAATCCGACCTATAGTCTTTCCTTAACTGCAACCGTGAGGGTCGAACCCACATTGCAGAAAGTGATCCCTAGGTGGCTCTGCTACCTCAGATTGAGGAGCTACAACGAGCACTGGATCAGATAAAAGCTCCGCAAAAATGAACAAGGGCAGGTCGCAGAGGCGTCCCTCTTTTCTCCGATGGTATTAGCCGCCCCTCTCCTATCAAGATTCAGAATGCCCGATATGCGAGCATTCGATGGGAATTCCGATCTGCAGGATAATCTATACGAGTTCAACGATCTCATGGAACTCCACCAAGTCTCTAACTTGGCAAAATGCCATTGCTTGGTAGTAACTCTTACTTCTCACGCCAAGCGATGGTTTAGGTCGCTCCTAACAGGATCTGTTAGCTCGTGGCCTTAGATGAGCTCGACATTCCTAAGACACTTCCAAGCAAACATGAAGTTCTCGATGCCTCTGAGCTACCTCAGCAATATAAGGCAAGAGAGGGACGAGTCCCTCCAATCCTATATCGATATGTTCTACAAGGAGCTCCATAAAGTAGCTCATACTCCCGAGGAGTCCGTGTGGACTCTCATCATCGCGGGAGTTCATCCACAGACCAATCTATGGAAAGAGCTACAGTTAGAGGAAGATGTTTCCCTCACCCGTTTCTACAGTCTTACAGAGAAGTACCTCCACATTGAAAACTCCGTGGAAGCGCTTAACCGCCACGACTCCGGTCCTTCGGGCAATGCACCTGCTTGGGGGGATAATAGGAAGGCTGATCGTTGATGGGCTAACAACGATTAGCGAAAAGGAAAGAAATAGCGATATGAGCCCAAGAAGTCTTATGCCCCAGATCCTCGTCGTGATCGCGACAAGAGTCAATACACTCCTTTGAATGCCTCAGTCTCGGCTATTCTTGACAAATCAGAAGAAGTCGGCCTGCTCGGGGAGCCTAGCCCATGAAAAATCCCCCTTTAACCAGAAACAGTAAAAAGTACTGTCGCCATCATCAGGATAATGGGCATCACACCGATGAGTGTCGAGCCCTTAAGCAGGCAATCGAAGACCTTATCAAGTAGGGGCATTTCAAAGAGTACATCGATGACTCTGCTCTTGTACATGAGAAAAATCAGCAGGAACTAGGCAAGAAGTGTCGCGATCGCAAGGGTATTTGCAGCTTGGGTATCATCTTCGGGGGGCCAAATCTCGCAGGGAATTCGTGAGGTGCCCAAGAAAGGTATGCTCGCACAACCCATCATGACCCCATCAGTGTATTGAACATGACGCGACAACCGCCTAAGGTTCGTAGAGAGGAGGAAATCTCCTTCTCCGAGAAAGATGCAGTACTGCTGTATCATCCTCATAACGATGTCCTCGTCATCATGCCCCAAATAGGGCGATGCAAAGTTCACCGAATGTTGGTGGACAATGGAAGTGTAGTGAACATCTTGTTCATGCGAGCTTTCGAAAGAATAAATCTTGATGAGGCCGATCTGAAGCCTGCCTCCATCCCCCTATACAGAATCACCGGGGATCACCTGATCCCCAAAGGTACGATCTCGCTCTCGATCACATTGGGTGACTTCGACGAAGTGACTAGGGTCACTGAGTTCTTAGTAGTGGAATGCCCCCTTCCGCTTTCAATGGCATCCTAGGGTGACCTCTACTGAGAAACTTCAAAGTAGTCACTTCGATTTACTATCTCAAGATGAAGTTCCCCACCCCGATAGGGATAACGGAAGTCAGCGGATCTCAACGCGTATCTCGCGACTACTATGTAAGGGTAATGTAGATAGCGTGCAAGGGAAAGGGCATTCCGCATGGCATTCCCGAGCAGGCAATGGCGATCA